ATATAGACCGTAGCACAATGATTCGGTATCCAGGATTCCGGGTACGTAAACGTCTAGAGCCATGAAATTGTAAAATACTACAACGTGTGTAAGCTCTCCAATGGGAAGCTAAGGCCAAAATGGCTCTTCCCAACGGACGTTAAACGGCTACGTCATTTAATCGGATACAACTGCCAAAGCGAGACACAATCCTTCATGAGGTATATACCTAATCGGGGGATATCTCCACGTGACCTTCTCCTAGTACATAGTGACATGTGGTATGAGATGAGATACCAGTGTACCTGTAATTACCTACCTAGACAGGACCCAGAGCAGATTAATTATGGAGTCAACATGTCTGGATCACATGATATATCACGTGCTTGCTACTTTTACCGAAACGGGCTAGACCGAGGATCTTCCGACCATCCGTCTCCAATTGAAGCATTGAATCTCAATTTGCCCGTTGCTTGACCATCGTGAGGTTCGCTCGTCACGTCTTTCTTCAATTGACACCGCCGGTCACCATGAACGCCTTCCGCGTCGCCCGCGCAGCTCTGCGAGCTCGCCCCGCTGCCATGCGGCTCCCCATCCAGCCCCTGCAGCGAAGGGCCTACGCCGATGCTGCTCCCGACAAGGCTTGTATCCCCACGCCATATTTCGGGAGTCACTCTACTTACTAACCTTGGACATATAGATCAAGCTAAGCTTGTCCCTCCCTCACCAGGTACGATAGATATAGCCTGCATTCATGCGACAAGGGCCCGAGGCATCACCAATGCCACAGCCTGCCCAATCCGCCTACCTAAGCTCGACCTCGCTGCCGGCCAGCACCGCTAATTCCCGCAACAGTCTATCTACACTTCGCAAGACGTCGTCCAGGTCAACATCCCCGCCGAGTCTGGAGAAATGGGTGTCCTCGCGAACCACGTGCCCTCGATCGAGCAGCTCAAGCCTGGTCTAGTTGAGGTCGTCGAAGAGAACGGCACCAGCAAGCAGTTTTTCCGTATGTGCACATAGGAAGGAAGAGGGGGGCATGAGCATGGGTCGGACAGTTTACTAAGGTCTACTACTAGTCTCTGGCGGCTTCGCTACCGTCCAGCCAAACTCAGTACTCAGCATCAACGCCGTCGAGGGCTACCCCCTAGAGGATTTCAGCGCCGAAGCCGTGCGATCTCAGATCGCCGAGGCACAAAAAGTCGCCAACGGCAGTGGCAGCGAGCAGGATATTGCGGAGGCCAAAATTGAGCTAGAGGTGAGGCACATGTCCACCTTCCATCTTTTATTTATGTTCTATGCTCTGTGTTCTGTGTTCTGATTTACTGACGACATGATATTTAGGTTTTGGAGAGTTTGCAGGCGGTTCTGAAATAGACTGTATAGAGGATAGTTATCACGACAACTTGTACATCAGAATAATTCCCTATATCCACGAAAGCGAATCAAGAAGGTTTGAACCATGTTGATTTGTGCACGCGCAGTTTCTTTCCACTGTGAATGCACCTGCTGGCTGTACACATCGCAGTTCCCGATCTAGTCTCGGCACTTGCAAATAGTCGCTACCCCAATCGGTCGATAGTATCTTGTGTGAGCAGTGCACATCACACTCTCTTCAATTTTCTTGCTGTGTGTTGTTAAAAGGGAGCCTAACCACCAACCTAGGCCCCTAAGATAACAGATATATTCCTTATGCCAAATCCATAACAGGGGAATGATGTGCTACCTAACTTTTAGTTCCATGAAATATATCTCTCGAGACTGTTCGTCATGACTTTGCGCCTACGAAAGTACGCCTCTAATGTCTTGAACGAACCCAACAGGAGTCAGCACCCCATGGAGATTCACACCCCTATTGAATCACGATTGCGGCAGTTCTACACCTTATCCAGCAAAGTTAACTCATCATCCGAGGACCCCGGCTCCGTCGAACGCGAACGCGGACACATAGCCGTCGGTTAGGGACGCCCGTCACGCCCGCGTTATGCGGAATCTTCGGCGCCGTCTCTCGGTATTCCCGATTTTCAGACGCCTCCTACTACCTATTCATTTGTTATTCATACTTGTGGTCGGAGTCAACATGACGATGACCAAAGATCTAGAACTCAGCCATTACACTCGTCGCAACCTTCGTCATGCCGGAAGAGTTTCTCAATGGGCCACCTGTGCAATAAATTTGGCCTAACAGAAATTCAATCGTCCCGCGGACGACGTGCTTCTAACACAGTCAAGGAGAGTCGGTTCAAGCCACAGCGTATTGACCCATCGGCAGCTGCTCATAACATACGGCCATTCCCAAACCCTTTATCTCCTGCCTTAGAGTCTCAAAATGTGCCATTATTTCCATCCATGTCACCCATTACCCCGGATATTGAGAGATGGAGATCAGCTCGGGACATGTTCACACAGTACCACATTAGCAGGCCCTCTGGCTGGCTTTCGGACATATCTCTGGGAGGGGATGGAAATGCCAGCCCCCCGGGATATTGCAGATACTGCCACATTTGCTCAGCTCCCGTCTGGGCTCCAACTCACTGCTCTTCCTGCGGGCACCATCTTTGTGACAGATGTGCATGCGAGGTGTTAGCCACTCCTACACAGGCTCATGCCAGCCGCTCGCACCATCTGGCCCCTACTACTGCAAGAGATGATTCGAAACATATATCTGCCTCTAAGCCAAATCCGGAATCGATACAAACTCATGGTCAGGAGTCAATAACTACAGTTTCCGCCACCGGAGACCGAAATCAGAGTCGGAGGGAAATACGGCATCGCCCATCATCCAATTTCCGTCCAGATTCTAGCTGGCTGAAGACAAACAAGCAGCACGGAGAAAACATGATATCGTATGAAATATCTGCCCCGATCATGAGGGACCATTCACATATAAGTGAAGAGCAATTTGAACAGACACAGAGCCGATTGACTCCAGCCATTAAGGTAAACCCGTTGGTTCTCAATGATAAAAAGGATAAGAAACAAGAGGTTGAGAAGAACCGCTCTATACCTTCTATGGGCCGAATGGAGTGCGATGATCCGATATGCAGAGCAACCCACACCGGACACCATCCATTTCGACATAGTGTCTCTTGTTCCAAACATGGGAGCGAACACAGCAAGCGGGCTCAAGACTTTAGCAGCGCTTCAAATAAGCGTTTGGAGGATGGAGTATTTGAAGAGTTTCACTCTGATACAAACAGCCCTACGAGCCATCTCCATGACGTTCATCGTCACCACTCTGCCGGCTTTCATAGCAATGACCACATCGCAGAGCACTTGTCCTCAGCAGTTGGTCACAACGCATACGACCTTCTAAAGGGACGCAAGAAAAAGAATATCCAACCCGCCTCCAAGGCAAGTATCAAGTCACGGGTCGACGGAAGCCCGTACCTCGAGCCTCTCACACAGCCCAAGTCGCTTACACAGATGGAATCATTCAAGTGGACACAAGACACGCTCCCTGCAGGCCATCCAAGTCGATTGAGTGATAGGAGACAACGACCTTCTCCGCTAACAAAAGAGGCGGCAAGTACATCAGATCATCAACAGCACATAAATGCGAGCGAGAGAACTACACATGATGCAATAAATACCGTGTCGGGAGAAGCTACTTTCCTCAGTGAGCAAAGGGAACTTCACAGTGATTTAAACCTATCTCGGCGTGATAACATCCTCCCGAGACTCCGACTAGCCAGCACACCGTCATGGTTAAGGAATCCGGCCAAGAAGGCAGCTGATGCTATTGCTCCGCTTCATCATATCGATACGAAAAATCACGAAATGCATGAGCACGATCATGGTTACCTTTCAAATGTCGCCATCCATTCCCATGACGACCATGACGATGATCATAGACTGTCGCGAAGCAGCAACAAAACGGGAACTCGAGCGGAGCGCCACCTACCATCGAAAATACTAGTAGATGCTCCGTCGGTAATGGCAGAAGCACCCGGGTCAGTTCACGCGACACCCAAGATCCGAATTGATCCGGCCGCGCCTGAACGTAGACAACGACATGCCCCAGCTCCAGTATCAAAGCGGCGTGAGATTTTTGAGCCTGCTCAAGACCATGCTCCTATGACTTCTCCAGAAAAGAAAGCTACTCATACTCGCACAACGGAGTCCGCGCAGGCTCAGTACCAGGGGGCAACTTCTACAGCTCGGAGTGGACAGGCGCAGTCGCTTATAGAAAGATAGGAGGCTAAGGATACGCACTTGCACTCGGACACCCGGGCCGGCCACGAAGAAAACACCAGTCCTAAACTCCTCCACACGCCTCTTCGGCCGCAGGTATCTAGCAAAGCCTTCACGCCCACAACCAACCGATCAAACCAAGAACTTGAGCACCACAAAGGGCTTGGAAGGTCTTTAGTGGAGCAATCACCTGAACTTGAAATCGCCAAGCCGATGCCCATCGCGCCTCCAAATCACGAATGTGCTTGGAAAGACCGGTATCTAGCCCTAACGGCCGAGATCCGCCAGCTCAAGGCCGAGATGTCGACCCGTGCGTCACATAGGAGCTCGGAGTTTGTTACTCTTGGGTATAAGCAGCATGGTGATGACCACGATCTGCTGGGTGTCACTGTCAACTTGCACTTTAGGGATAGGGACGATATTGTTATTGGTACGGACGTAGCTCGAGGTATGGAGCCTCACAACTGAAGGCATACTATACTTAGTTGCTATAGTTGAAGAAGGAAGCTGGCTTTTGGGCATGGCGATGAATAATGGCATCAGCAATTCCACGGTATTGGCTTTACACAAGGGAGTTGAATTGGGTCGATAACTTGCTGTATCAAGAGATTGACGAATAGTTGATATGCTTCATTAATAGATTATATGCTTTCTTCAACCGACTGACTGACTCTTAATTGATTTTTCACCAACATAGCTAATACCCTAACTAACCTACCTAGGTAGCTAGGTATTTTATGCCTAGATAACATTCGGCGCCTAAGGAAGACCAAAAAAAAAAAAACGGAGGGAAAAAATTGTCATAATCACGGCTACGGATAGCAAAACTCCGAATCGGGGAATCGAACCCCGGGCTTGACGGGACTTCACCGCATCACATGTTATGTGATGAAGATGAGAGCGTCAAATGTTAGCCACTACACCAATTCGGATCACGAAGGTAGTTGCCCACTAGCGGAATCGAACCGCTGATCTTGTCATGGCATCTAGTGGGAATACTAGTGACACGCTATACCACTTAGCCAAGCGGGCAATTGATGTTCAATCCCGAGAATATGATCACTCAAATTGTCAATCGTCGGCATGGCTTGCAGTACCGAACGAGTTCTACATAATCCTACGTCGAATTTTTTACGATTACGGTGGGTTGTAGGCAACATTGTGTCTTTCAATTCATAATTTGATGTCCTTCTAAGTTACCAATAGTACCGCGCCCTTCTGGGAACACAGCCAAGCTACGGATCGTGCCACACGAAGCAGTGGTCGGGGAATACGAAGAAGAGCTCGTTTGAGAGACTTCTCAGTTAACAACACACGTTATTTATGCAAAGTCGTTGAGTGTGTATGAGTCTAAATTCGTTACCTTTATATATACAAACCTAGAGAGCGGATATTTCCATGTGAGAGAACAAGAGCAGACAGAGCCTTCCATTCGCAGCCAGCCCCTCGGAAGCAATGCGTGCTCTAGTGCATAATATCGCGAAGAGCAGTCCAGGGAAGAACCAGAATGTCGGGGGCATCTGAAGGGTTTCGCCAAATACGAGTGGTATGCCTTAAAGTAAGCTCATAGTAGAATAGCGTCTTCCGATTCGCATGATGATGTATAGGTAGGTCAAGAATACTTGTTGACGCACGAGGATCCCTAACTGCAACCTCAAGGCAAGTGATATCTATATGCAAAAGGCCTCTTTGTCTTGTACCTTCAGGGGTAGACGTATGTGGCCACAGGTAGCCCGGGTCCCAATCTGGATCGTGGCAGTATGGATCGTGACAATTTAGGGCAAGCTCCCTTGTATTTGAAGAGTTTACTAAACCTATATATAAGTAAATAACGAGTAGCTACTAATAATATACATAAGCTTCTAGAATCCAAGCTTCTTCCGTTCGAAATGGAAATTTCATAGCTTTCAAATTATAGACTATATCCCCTTCTCTACGTTTCGTAGTCAGGATTGCTAGCTCTGTTTACCTTTCAAGACCGCCGACAGTCAACAACTATTGCATACATCAAATCAAGATCATTGCAGCTTAGAGGGGTCTAGACAAGCTCATTATTCATTCGTATCTAGGACAATCTGTGAGCGCCGAAATCAGCTAACGGACATTATTCCCAAAGTTGTAGGGAAGATAATAGCGAACAAACTATAGCAGTAACGTTCCCTACTGTGGCAGTATCACGACTGAGTTACATCGCCCACCGAGAATAATATACTGATGATATATGCCTCCCTGGTTATGAAATATCCTATATCTAGTAACCAAAACAGCTACGATCCCTTTTCTTCCAGAGCGTACACTTTTACCTTTTTGTTGGGAAATAATTGCTCATGGAAACTGAACAGAACCTGCTAACTCGTATTGCGTCGCCTCCCTGGGTATTGAAGATCGATGATGGAAAATGAGAATAGTAGTTTCACTGTCCCGGAGCCATTCGATAAATCCCACCAAAGAGCACAGTAGCGCGATAGTAGACTTAAAACGCGATCATAATAGGAATTCCTCGGGTAACGCTTTCCTTCTTAACGTACGTTCTACTCCATACGTTAGCGCGTGCCTCAAGCTCTGCGATGCCTCTCTCTATTTTGAAGTCATTCGTAATCCCTGTCCAGATTTCTCTCCAGATATTCATTGTAAAATGGACTACTATTTATAGGTATTCTACTCTCGATAATTGCTGTATATAGCTCGTATCCTAGGAATCTTATCGGTGACTTGATAGAAAACCGGACGGAAGATATTGCCGACATATCAGCATATTCCAAAGGTCCGTCGAAATAGAATTCGAGTTTTAAACATTCCTAGTAAGAGTATCACTGGCTATCTACAGACATCTCGAGAGTGAACGACGCTGCTAGCGCCGATTGACCGTCGCAGTGTAATATACGGCTATGTAGCTGGATAGCCGCATCATTTCCCCACGATTATATAGTGTTACGAGCAATCGCGAGTGGGTAGTTAGCCTAACTTCCCATTAAAGGAGTTGGCAAATTTCGATCTCTCGAGGGAAAGAACCTATGATCCCGGGCTGTGCCGCGAACCGGAAATACTACGGTATTTACACACGACGCCGCCAAGCCAGGGCTGATGCGGAACGACGTCGTAGCCTTGAATCGGATCTTTCCGTCCGACATTCACGTCTCATCCGTCTCCCTGCGAATTAGGGATGGTATTGATACCGCCCACGAGAATTCCTATATCGAAAGGTCTAAGATTAGCTCACGCCCGTTCCCGTTTATAAGGAGTAAGGGGAAGAAAAATAGAATCCTCCATCATTGGAATTAGGACATTACTGATGTAATTTTCTGCCGTATTAATGAGTGAGCATATATATGAGGTATGGTAGAAGAAGAAAGGTAATGGTAGTAGACATGAGAGTCTCGGTGGCAATTGAAGCAGAAGGCGACACTGCGGAAATGCGAATCTGGGCGTTATGAAGCCGGAATATAGCCGCATTTGGAAGAGACAAATCGATGTTTCCATTGAGGATGTAGATGGTACGGGAAGAATTAAGGGTCAAAGCGACTTTGATGTATCACCAGTTACGCCGCATGGGTTCTCCTCCTAAGCGACCGTTTATCATTAAGCATTTAATACGACCAGCAGCGTAGATCTATGCCTTATCGCCCTCTAGTAGCCGACCCTTAAAAGTAAAATGAGATTATATAAAAATAGTGAAAAAGAAGTAGAATAAAGTATAGTAAGAGGCATGACGAAGTTAACTACACCCCTAAGAGTATTCTCTGGCATAGGCAGTTGAGAGAAAAGGGGGCTACTATTTTTGGGTTGACGTGAGGACATATTGTGGCTTTAAGCAATAATTCATGTCGCCTGTCTGAGATATATATATAAGATTAAATGTTCCTGGGTTGATGTTAGAGATTATTAGACGATAAAGCAGCTGATGATGTAGATATATATATGTAGCTGATTCCGTACAATATAGTTTAGACTTATAGTAAATAACCGACTCAATTGAACCCACGGGAGGTGGCTAGTTTAGACATATGTCATAAAGGCGTCCTAATCTTTGGTTCACGGCGAGCTTGAATGTGTACTTATTGCGTTCGGTATTTGTTGCCTCTTACAATTCTTCCGCGGCTGAGAGGAGAAAGTCTACACGGGCCTGGATCTCTTAAGTTTGATATAGCTATTATATCCTTCAATTCTTACTAGCTTATTATAGTGCCCTAAGCATGCTGTAAGTTAATCATTCCGTCAACGTGTATCCGACGCGTCTCTGGATAAGTACCGTGCAGTATTGGCGTCGATTCAACCAAACACCTTCAAGTCCAATCACACACTCTCATCTCAAGGTGCATAGGCAGAAAATAAAATAAAATCGAGATCTGGACAAGTGCCAGAAGCCCCACGATGTTGCCTACCTAGTGTATAATTAGTACGGGCCTGGTTGATGAACTGTTGCGTAAGTACAAGCCCACGCATGTAAAAGACATGCCGATGGCCTTCGAAGGTGAAATCGCCTGTGAGATTCGATACACATGTTCCTTTTTGACCGCAGATGTAGCCCTAGGCATCAACCGTCTAATAGCATATCTATGTAGACATGCCGTCTCCTAAAGAAAAGGCGGTCAGCACATTTTTATGCTCGACGTGTTAGCCGTGAGGGTGGATTCGAGATCACAATCTAGCGGACTGTTCGTGATCGATGGGGTTTCCAACATCAGTGGAATTTTGCATGCCCGCTTTAGGCACCCTCATCACATGCTAGGCTACATACATAGTAGCCAAGCTGGTTAAATTCTACCAGCTTTTCTTCTCGATAGGTCGAGCCACGTGACGTGCCATCCGGACCAGATTTCTCTCTGCTCCAGGTGATACCTAACATAATGTCATCCATACTACCCTATGGACCCAGTAGATGCTCGAACGAGTATCAATCTCGATGATCAGGGCGGCTTCCAAGGGTCGTACTCGGGAGAGGACAACCAATGGAAAAGAAGTCGGTATCCAGCATTAGACGTGATAGTCGCACAAACGACTAAATCACGGGTTGTCTGAGCGAAGAAGATGTCGTGAAACTTGGGCTGTATTTGTGGCTTCGCTTTCTCCCGACCGGAGTCATCGCTTCCCCGCGACTAGCTGGCGCCTTGTGGTTCATGTTTCTCCCTTTCTTTTCTTTTTATGACGGAATTAGCCAAGACGGGTATTGGGAAGATGCTTGTCTCGGGCGATGCCAAGGCAAGCCTCCACGGGCAACAAGCTTTGCCAAGTCAGAAACCTAGAACAACATCATTGTTCGATGGGTAGAGGATTTTTATATGCTAGCGTACTATATGTGTTTAGATACAGCATTGACCTCAAGAGCACGAATGCAGCGAGAGAGTGTGCTTAGATATTCTATTGGCGGAGAAACCCGGGTTGCTATATGTAGGTTGCCACCACGTATGTACATGTAGGTATGTACAGAATAGCTTAGGAGTGCATGAAGAAGTAACTATGTAGGGAAAAGTAGGGAGACCAAAGCAAGCTCAAAAACAAGCAACCGAGCAACCAAGCTCGCAAAGCTTGCAAGCTCCCTACATACCTCCAATACCTATCTACTACCTACCTACCTACCTACCTACCTAACCTAGGATCCAACTCGGGTCTCCAAGCTTCTTGGCGATGCGGTGCACGCGCGCATTGATGGTCGACAGCGATCCGACTTGTTGCGGGGAACGGGAAGTTCTGCCCATTCAGCATCCAATTGTGGTCTCGAGATGCCATGTAGGCAATGTATGTAGGTACACACACACTACCCAGACCCCAACGCGGCGGATTGGGTATTACAATGCGCGTAATTAATCTCGGTACTGTGTAACTACTTAAACCACCTTATGCGGAGTGATATATGCGCTCGATTAAAATTGAAGCATTTTCTACCTACTTATTTACTTTGCCTGTACGCACAAGTAAATACCATATTATATATAATATAGTACGCTATTGTAAGTACAGCACTTACAGTAAGGTACCGGTACGATGGTGTATCAAATGCCCGAACTGTTAGGGATCTGCCCTCAAATCTATTT